CCCCAAAACCCCAAAACCCCAAAACCCCAAAACCCCTCCTTGACCTAAAATTTTTGATAAATAATTATATCGCAAAAATAAAATTAATGAGTGACCCAATTGTGGATCCCCTGAAAGTACATACTTTTGGGGTGAAACGCCCCCTTGAAGAGAAGAAGCATGAGATTGAAGAGTTGTATAAACAACATAAGAGGTATTATCCAACTGATAAGACTGGAGAGCTTGATGAATGGGGAGCTGTGATTAAATAATCAGAATGAAATGTTTACTAGGATGGATAATATGCAAAAATTGCAGAGAAGGAAGGATATGGAGAATTATTCTCAAGAGCTTGCTCATGAAAGTGATACAAGAAAGAGAGAACAGATGTATAATCATGAACAGCAAAAGAAATATGAGTTTGAACAGGCGATGAATAAAAAGAAAGAGGCTGACTTTTTGAATCATCAAACTCATCTTTCAAAGAAAAATATGCAGAATATGTTGGCTCAGGATTATGAAGACGCCATGAGACTCAAGAGAATGCAGAAACAAGACGAGAAAAATCTCACCCTTGCTGAAGGAAAAGCAGCTGATCATAAAGCCGAGCTTGAGCTTAATTATCTAAGAAATGCTGAAAGGGACAAGCGTAATATGATTCGTGAAATATTTACTACTGAGAAGAGTGCCTACGATGATAGGAAGAATAGACAGACTAGTCAGAGCTATATCATGGGAAGAGCTGAGCACCAGAAACTAATGGAGGAGAATGAGAAGAAGGAAGCCTATAAAGACTACCTCAATAGCCGAAAGTACAATAATTTCAATCAATTTCAGAATAAAGTTTCTCAAAACTACCAAGATCATGTTTACAAGCCAGAAATGGAGAGGAAGATGAAAATAGATTATGCTATTAAAAAGGGTGAAGAAGAGAGAAAGAAAAGAGATGACATGACCTATCAGTACAAACAAAATGTTGATAGAAACATGAGACTGAACAATAGAGCTTATATTGAAAAACAGATGAAAGATAAGAAAGATGGAAGAGTGGTTGGCAAAACTGAGTATGAAGTTGATCAATACAATCGAATGAATCATGAGAAGAATGTACAAGATGTTGAACACCTCGAAAAATTCAAGAAAATGCAAGACCAGCATCAATATAGAGAGATGCTGAACGACCAAATAAAAACTTCCAAAATGAGAAGACTCTATGGTAACATGACTGGAGTTGAAAAATCTTTGAATAAAGATGATCTTGTTGCTTGGAAGAACTATGACCATAACGCTTATGCATTGATTCCTGGATTAAATTCCACGAAAAAGCCGATCCCAAAGAAGTTACTTGATGACAAAATCCTTCATAAAAAGGAGAGAAGTTTCGATGATGAGCTTAATAGAATGAACCAATTTGGTCTCACCAGAGATGTCACTCTAGCCAGAGATCCAACATATATTTCTGCTAACCTTCATAATTCTGCAAAGAGACTTCCTGATTCAAGGTCTTTGGAGCCCAATAGAAGTATGATAGGTAGTGCTGGAGGACAGTCACTAAATGGAGGCTATGAAGATAAAGTGAACCAAGGTATTCCTAAGAATGTGGTATCTAATGAAATTCCAAACAGAAGTTTGTTAAGATCAGGCCACAGGAAGTATCCAAACCACCATTTATTTAGTAATTACAATCCGATTAATGGAGAATTTGGAAGCACAAACGCAGGACAGTCAGGTGCATTCTTCAAAAAGATGGGAACCTCCGTTCTCAATTAAGAAGAGTTTCAATACTACTAATCCAAAACGGGGTTTTGGGGTTTTGGGGTTTTGGGGTTTTGGGG